GTTCACTGTGTCTAGTATATTCCTCACATCAAGTGTATAAACCACAATTTACTCGAAAGTGGTCATTCAGAAATGGAATGTGATTCCATACATGCATCTATCGAGCATGCAAAAGGCCTCACAAAAGTACATGTTCCATCTCAGTGGGAAAAAATTATATCATTAGCACGCCGGAAGCAACCATATATTGTCGTTCTAATAAGTTACACTGACATACTAGATTACAAGTTGTACAAAGAACAAAACTGTCGCTCAATGAAAATTGATGTTGATGGAGAATGTGGCTGAATATAAAATGGATTCAAGTTCGTAAAGACAAAGAAATGAAAGAATACAAGAAGTACTTTTATGAACTATGGTTTTTGATGTTAGTGAGTTCAAGGAAGTTAGGTTAATGCAGAAGAAGAGCAGAAGCAAAGAAAAGTCTCTTACGGCTCCACGAAAGGCTTATACAGAGAAACTTTCAATATACTAGTATGCTGCAAAAAAAGCTGATTTGATGTCACTTGTTGCCTCTGGGACAATTCCGAAGGAGCACGAATCATATTACGAGTCATTGCATTGCAGCAAATCTATAAAAGGCAAACTGTTAGTGAGAGTGAAGAAGATGAGTGAACTTCATGGAATAATTAATGACAAACATTTACATTTTGTGACATGAAACAGTAGTCTTTATTTACTTAACTATGATATGGGTCATTAACATCCTTAACTGCTGATGTCTGGGGTCTGTTTGACTTGATTTGAATTATATACCAAAGAACATTCAAAATAAATTAAAATTTGTAAACTTAGATTTTAGTGCCTATTATCCTAACTTTTTAGTTATCAATTTTTTTCTGTAGAATCTAAATATTGAGCAGGTACATATTTCATATTTCTATGAATGAAAAGTGTCAATTTTGTGTACGAGTATTATTGTGCATGTGTGTTAATGACATTGCGTAAGGTTCTTCAAAGTAAGGACATAATTAATAAATTTGCAACAGTAACAATTACTGCAACATCTAAATTCTTTTCAAAGGAACAAGGCTATAACTGCACTTATAACCTTTTACCACAATTTATCCCGAACTTTTATTGATAAACCTTCAGAAGTAAAAGGTAGTAAGTGCAGTTATTACCTTTTATCGCTCAAACTTGTTGTTTTGACAGGATCTTAGTACATTTATTAACTTTTATTTCTGTAAAATGATATTATTTTGATCTTAGAACTTTAAAGCAAAACATAATAACAGTGTTTTATCAGCACCAAGCAAGGTAAACTAAACAAAATATGATCTAATGTAGTCAAAAATTATGGGAGAATCAAAATTGTTATAAAAATATTACGGAAAATAAAGTTGTATTTAAATATATGTTTTTTTGCGTTTTTCTCGAAATCTATAAAATCGCAGTTATTACCTTTTACCTTTGAACCTTTTTACGACGCGGTCCGTTGCTATGAAAAATTGACCGGAAGTAGTAGTTGTTCGCGCATGCGCAATTTGCGAGGGCATAAAGTGCCTTGTCCTACATAGAAATGTAGTAGAAATTCATAGACAATTCCGAGTTAGTTTAAGGTAAAAATAAGAAAATCATATAAAATAGCTTTTAACAGAAACACAAAAGATGCCTTCATAGCTTTGTGGCCAAGATTGCCCAAAAAAGGCACAGAAAGACGATTTGTTTAAGAATTCCCCCTTACGATCACGGAACTAGCCTTGCCAATCCACTTTCAAAGGAATACCAATTGTGTAATATTATGTAATAAATGGGTTATAAAATGTGATCTTTAACACCACGCTGTTTTAATTTAAATCACTGATGAAAAAGTCACCTAATGTTACCTCGAACAGATGACTTTTGGTCCTTGAATTATAATTAAGTCCCGCTAATTTTGTATATCTGTTATAAATATCAATTCACGTTTTAAGTACTTACCGCTTTAATTCATCCCAAAATTTCGTTCTTCTGGGTGACATAACTTGAAATCACGCCTTTTAAAGTCTTTAAGTACACTAAAACGTATTTTATCTTTATTTGGCTTTTGCCCTACGCAGAATGCGCATGCGCGAAATGCAACATACTTTGTTATGGAAAATCGTACTGTAAAAAGGATACGCTTTTTTCTCATAGGTTGAATGATATATTGCCATAATGAGTTTCGGCAATAACAAGTTATGTTTTTTTTATTATCTTTAAGCACGGATTTATATATAAATCCGTGCTTTAAGTCAATATCTTTTTTGATATTATGATATATAATAAGACATGCAAAAAATTGTTAGATTTGACCCACAAATAAAAATACTTTTAAGCAAATACTTTGCACATACAGTAAAAGTCTTATCCGTGGCAGAAAGAAGATACCGGATAGGACTTAGATTAAAGGAGCGATGAAGTGAAATGCAGCTACTGTTTATTTAGCACAACAACAACAAAATACCAAAAGCACAACAACTTTGGTTCTTTAAAAGAAGATTTTTTAAGTTTTTACTATATGCATATAGGGAAAATCAAAGACCCCAGGGCTTTTACTTGAACAAACTTGGTAGACACTCACTAGAAGATGTTTCATGCTAAAGGTCTTAGCTTTAGCTCTTTGAGTTCTTAAAAAGAAGATTAGGTTTTACTATATGCATATAGGGATTTTTCAAAGATGATTTTTAAGTTTTTCCTATACACATATTAGGAAAATCAATGACCCCCGGGGCGGGGCCAATTTTGACCCCGGGGCTTTTATTTGAACAAACTTGATAGACACCCATTAGAACATGTTTCATGCTAAAGGTCTTAGCTTTAGCTCTTTGAGTTTTTAAAAAGAAGATTAGGTTTTACTATATGCATATAGGGAAAATCAATGGCCCCCTGGGGCGGGGCCAATTTTGACCCTAGGGCTTTTATTTGAACAAACTTGGTAGACACTCATTAGAACATGTTTCATGCTAATTATCTTAGCTCTTTGGGTTCTTTAAAAGAAGATATTTAAAGTTTTTTCTTTCCGTTGCCATGGCAACCAGAGTTCTGCATGGAATTAAATTCTTTGAACAATTTTTAAAGGTGACCACCAAAGGAACATTCCTGTGAAGTTTGGATGAAATTGGCTTAGTGGTTTATGAGGAGATGTCATTTAAAGTAAAAGTTTACGGACGGACGGACGACGGACGAAAAGCACCCTGTCACTTTGTGACAGGTGAGCTAAAAATACAACCCCCCCCCCCACACACACACAAAAAACAACAACAAAATGAAAACAACTTTTAAAAATATCAGTCCTCTCCGGTATTTTCTTTCTGTTACGGATAGGACTTTTCTGTAAGTGCAAAGTATATACCTTACAAGTTTTTTATTTGTGGGTCAAATTTAACGATTTTTTGCATACATTGTTATTTTGTTCAAATATATCGATCATAAATGTATCGATTATAAACATGACGATTTTTAATGATGTAAGCGATCACTGACTCGCATATACTTTTATGGAACGCCGTTTTCCACCGAATTCTTCCAACCTAAACAGATCGTTATTACTGGCACGCATATGGCAGTGTTAACTTGGTATTTGGTACACTTTTTGTGTAGACAGCTTTGAAATAGGACTCCAAACAGAAATTATTCGTGTGGTTCTGCAAACCTTACAACTTAGACTGAAGGACAACGATACAACACTTTCTCTGACGTAAAAAAACTACTTTCGATCACGTGATAAGATATCATAACACAACAGATTCTTTTGTTGACAGTTTTGTTATTTTCCAACGCATAATAAAAGTATGAACGCATTGAAGCCTAACAAAAAAGGCTATATTGAGATTCGGTTTTAACAAACAAAATATGATAAACGAGTTAAAGATCGTGTATGTTTTGTGATAGATATTGTTACTGTGTATATATTTACTGTGTGTATACCACACTTGCAAAAAAAATGATATGTATATAACTATGCAAATAAAACAATTTTCAAACATCGAAGAATGTGTAAAATGTGTACTGCCAATACATGTATTTGTGCATATTATATTTAATCAATAAATTACATGCATTCATTTCTTATTGGAAATTTTGACTTAGAATTCATAGATAATAAATTTATAATTACCTCCCTTTATTTACATGAAATGTTAAATTGAGTAATATCTTTATAAATAATGCTTATTGGAGCTTACAATATTGACAAATCTCAATTTGAGCATCATATCAAAGAAATAAAACCATGAAAAAATTGTGTTACAGGATAAGTATAAACAGAAATATTTCAAGAAATCTAAACCAGATTAAAGCAAAACAATTAAAATAATAAAATAATACACATATAAAAATTATAACTCTTTTATACTTGTAGATATTTAAATGGTAATTATCGCAAACGCACTATGTTGGTTTGTCATGGCTCAGCTCAAATATAATAAATAAAATCTCTGGTAAAATGAGTAGATTATGTAAAAAACAAAGAATGCCTTATAATGTACAAGTGTTTGTCCGATTTCATTAATTCAACACTTACAGTGCCGACGACAACACCAGTGTCTGTCTGATCATAGTTTGCTCTTGTCACTAATCAGTCAGTACATATTTCAAACTTATCCCTATAATGATATATGGTTTTACCCAAACTGAAAGATGGAAGCGTTCATTTTTAGATATTCAGCATGATAAGTAAGTGTTAATTCTACTGCGCATGCTCATGGGTAAAAGACTGGTCAATATCGGATCAATATCCATTTTTAAAGCACATAATTACTATTCAACATCCGTATCGTAGACTGGTCTTAGATGGTTTATAGTATTCCGTGTTTATCAGCAGGGACTATTTTTAACATTTGAGACAGTAATGACCCCAAAATCGAGCCAAATGTCCAAGGATACAAATCATATCTGATTTCTTTATGTGTTCAAGTTCGCGCCTTAAATTATTAATCTTCTTGAAAAAAATATAACTTTTTTCTTGTAATAAAAACAACGAAATATATCTACTATATCTTAACAACAAATTCTTTTCTTCTTTTTTTTTAAAAAAAAAATATTTCACTGTTTATAATGTTTTAATGTTCTAGCAGACGGGTCTGTGGTTTGAGTCCATTTAGGCATCCAAAAGTATGGTATCCACTGACTATGGCCGGCGTAATATTTCTCAAACATTCGCCGGTAGTAGAGCGCTTCTTTCGATCGTGGGGCATTGTGGGTATATTTCTTTGCCGAATCCTCGACCTCGCTGTCGTTTATCTGATTAAACAGAAAAATGCATGATTATCTTTTTAATTTTTGATTATTAATTCATTATTTTAAGTGATATGAAAAAAATCTCATTAAAGGCACATTATGCCTCATCAGTGTCTATTCTAGGATTCGAAAAATATGGGGGGGGTGCTTCTACGCTGCCAACTGCACGAAGATGGAATTTTATTGAAAAGTGAGAATTCATTACATTTCTTGATTTTTTCCATTCTTTCTCTTTTTAAATGTCCTCCCCTGTCTCTGACAAAATAGGTAGGAATTCTTAAAAATATGAGTGAATCTCCTATCACCGCCAGAATAATCACTGCCTCAGAAATTCATATTTTATAAAAAATTCTTTAGCAATGTCAAACATGTGTTTAAAATTGTTTAAATAATGGATTTAAAGCATGTTCCATGTTTAACATCCGACAAAAGTAGTGCTGATTGTGCAGTAATGTGTTGTAAAGTTAGCAAAACATTAACAAATTAGGATTTCACTTCCATACAAAATAACTAATTCAATTTATACATATCAATTGCTAACAGAGCGAAAGAAGCAACAGGTCCCATAATGAGTATTGTTTTAGGAAACGGTAACAAAATACCAAACATAAAAGTTTTTGAGAAATCAAAATGGTAGCATTTCTTCTCAGGTATATTGGGCCTTCTATTAAGAAATTGTAAATGTGATGTGATCACAAATTCATATACCAGAAGTTTAATAATAAACTTTAAACATTTACAAAGAATAAAACCTAGATGTTTCAAAATAAAAAATGAATGATATCTACCTGAACGTCAATATGGTTCTGCAGAACTTCGTACCACGACTTGGTAACGGATGACACGCCATCACTGAACGCTTCCTTTGGACGCCATAAAATCTCCTCTGGTAATAAACCAATACCGGAAAATGCGGATCGCAGTAAATATTTTTCTATACCTTTCTTTGGGCGTTTATCACCATCTGGTAGTGACATGTAATAATGGCTAAAACGATGGTCCAAGAATGGCACACGTAACTCAAGCCTAAAATTAAAATAGAGGAATATTTCTTAGCTTAGTGTAAACATAATTATTTAAGCAAGATTGCGAAACAAGTTTTTGCAAATTATATTAATGAATAATCACTTTCGAATCCGCTTCCTGGACCAACCAGTACTAGTGTGACCCGAGTAGGGTAAGGCTCGAAACCATGATCCCATGTTGAGAGGCAGACACCTTAACAACTAGTACACCGCTTCCCCCATTTTCCCCTTAAAATTGACAATATCATATTTAGTTATACATAAAGTGTTTTAAATTTTAGGAAATAAAACAACAAAAATTTTCTAGTACAAATTCAATTTTATTTAGTAAAATTTTAAAAAAAGTTCATTTACATACCCCCAAGCCGTAGTTGTTCTGTCAGCACGGAGGACATCAAACATGTATAAATCTTTGCAAAGTCGTCTGCTTTCCTCGCTAGCTTCCTCGATAGATGGCGCTTTATGGAAATAAATGTATCCTTGCGCCACCTCGTCGGAACCTTCACCAGACAATATCACAGTTGTATCCGTCTTCTCTTTTATATACTGACTAATTAGATACATTCCTGTAAATAAAATATCATTTCAGATACATTCCTGTAAATAAAACTCTTTTATATACTGACTAATTACATACATTCCTGCAAATAAAAAATATCATTTCAGATACATTCCTGCAAATAAAAATATCATTTCAGATACATTTCTGTAAATAAAAAATATCATTTTAGATACATTCCTGCAAATAAAACTATAATTTAAGATACATTCCTGCAAATATAAATATCATTTAGATACATTCCTGCAAATAAAAATATCATTTTTCATTATTTACATTTAATATGTACGCACTGTTTCAGAAATTTCGATACCAAGTAAATAGCTGGTCAACCCATTTACATGTATTAACAGTGGCGTCAGTGTCCGAGTGGGCTGAGGCCGCTTACTTCAAGCCACTTCGAATCCAGTCAGAAATAATTTTATGTGACGTTGCCATCCAGGCCCGTCATGCTCATCTGTGCCTGAAAAGCACCTGAGGTTTGCACTTTACTCCACCGCGAGTCAGGTGATTGCAGATTGATAAGCGGGAAACAAACTGGTAATACCATGGTTAAACACTGACAACAACTGTACTAACACTGGCAATATTAAAGATTTTGTTAAGGTAGTTACAACATGTATTCGTTTCTTACCAACAGATGCTCTTACGGTCGTGATGTCATAACTTTCAAGATGATATATGACGTTTTCTACAGCTTCTATGCCTTCTTCCGGCGTAAACACTAACTCGTGATGTTCTGTTCCCAAAAAATCAGCAACCTGAATCAACAAAATACATTTTAAAATTGGCAATCGCTGATTGTTTTTGTATCACTGACAAATAAGTAAAAGACATCCACTGGGGTTCAAAAAAACCCATAAAATTTCAATTTCTAACATTGATCAGCTGGGTCACTTAAACAGAAATATTAAGAAATTTGCTCTGATTGAAAATAAATAAGAAATATTAATGAAATTTTACCTTTTTGGCTGCTTTTAAATCCGTCGATCCTTCCATACCAATTGAAAATGTTTGAATTTTATAATCCAAGCCTAATTCTTTAGCTAGTTTTACCACTAATGCAGTTACAAGACTCGAATCCAGACCGCCCGACAGAAGGCAACCTATCCGTCTGTCTGCCATGAGTCGTTTCTTAACCGCCATTGTCAAAAACTCTCTAATGTTCTGTTTTACGTCCTCACCTAAATATATATGTATAAAAATAGTTACAGTACAATAAGCATTAAGCTATTCACTAAAATAGCCTTCAGTACTATAAGAATTAAGCTATTCACTAAACAAGTCTTCAGTTCTGTCAGTATTAAGCTATTAACTAAAATAGCCTTCATGTTTGTATTATCGTATCATATAAAAGCTAACTTCATGCTGAAAATACTTTGTTATAAAATCATAAAATTAAAAACTAAGCAAATAACATCATACGCACCGACTGTTATAGGAAACGTAGGGTAGGCAGGTTCCTCGGCTATCTTATGGAATCTCGTGCACTCGGTTAACACCGCTCTCCCTTCTTTGTCAAGTGAATACGTCTCCACGTGACCAGGCGGGAAATGCTCCACCTTTGAAATCCCACATGCATCGGAGCTTGTATATGATAACCCTACCAGACCTGACAGAAAATAGAAAGAAAAGAAAACTTAGTCAAGAGTGGTCTATATTCAAGCGGAAAGAAAAAAAACATCTTGAATAGAAGTTACACATATAGCTATGTCAGAGACCAAAAAAAGATTCTTATACTTTTGCACAAGTGATTTACTTTTTAAGATTTATCGTGTGTTGGTTCAAAATTATCTAACAACTAAGGCATTCCTCCTTAAGCATTGTCAGTTATAAATGCGCTTAAATAAAGCATTTTATCTATTCAGTCTTTTGAATAAATAACAGCAATTCAAAATCAATAACAGAATAGTGATCGTAATTTCATTGAGTAACGATTTATTACTAGAATTGATTAGCAAGTATATTCGCTTGAATAAAAACATTTCTGTGATAAATTCGCTTGAATAAAGCATTTCTATGACAGATACACTTGTATAAAGCATTTCTATGATAGATTCGCTTGAATAATCCATTACTGTGATAAAATCGCTTGAATAAAGCATTCGCTTGAATAAAGCATTTCCATGATATACAATTGTACTCGCTTGAATAAAGCATTTCCGTGATAGTTTTTGCACGAATATATCATTTCTAAGAAAAAAATTGAATAAATTATGCTTGAATAGCATTTCAATGACATTTTCGCTTGAATAAAGCATTGATATGATATATTCGCTTGAATAGAGCATTTTTATGAGAGAGATATTGATCAATTACACCAATACTCTCAGAACAGTGTATTTACCTTTAGCCTCGGAACATACAGCCAAAAACCCATCTTCTGTTGTAATTCGGAAACCAGGTCTTACACCGAAGGTATCCCGGCCAAGAAATACTTTTCTGTTAGCTGTGTCCATAAGACAAAAGAAGAACACCCCATCTAAATGTTTTGCTGCAAATTCTATACCATACTTGGCATAGAGATGAATAATTATTTCCCCGTCACAGGCTGTATCTTGTTTAATGTCAAATTCTTTAGCAAGCTGAAAATGTCAAATAGAATTCTGATTAGATGTACATATATTAGAATAGTAAAACTATTATTATACAAATGTATGTAGCATTACTTGAAGGCCTCTGGGGATGGATGATTAGGTTTAAAGGGGCTCCACTGGGGTGCAAAAGCCTAAAAACTTTAACTTTGAAAACCTTACAAATATCAAACGGAGCAATTTAAATGGAATAATCTGCCAACAATAATAAAGAAAAATACTCATGAATAAAAATCGAAATTCGATTTTTTTTTTTGGCCATTGATTTGATTGAAAAGCGTTGCAAATCTCTGAAAAATATTTCAATGCAGTCCTATCATGTCGAAAAACCTCAGTGGAGTCCCTTTAAAGTATCTGACTAAAAATACAGATAATAAGCGTATAGGTTAAGTTAAGAGTTCTAAAAAGTTTTAATGGGTAGCAGGTATAAAACTAAATAGCGGCGTGCTACCTTGATTTAAACTAGACGTCTTGTAAAACTATAGGGTGCAACCTTTATTCAAAGTTCAAAATAGACAAGTTCAGACAAAATTTGCTATTTAAGCTAAAATTCAAACTAGGCTAAAATCTAGGTTTATGTGTTAAACTCGTGTCTAATTAAAACCCTCAAAATAGTATTTCCATTCATAAATATCATGCAGGAAACACGCCTTTCAGTCATGCCTTAATTCATATTTCGGTGCATTTTACTAATGTCAGACGGTATTTGTTGTATAATTTCTATTACAGCATACGATCGGAGTTTTGCCACATGTTGATAGTAAAATTTAATATGTTAAAGCCCCAAATAAGCTTTAAAATGCATCAATTATTTTTAAAAATATTTTTATTGTTTCGTAATGTTCTATAACAGTTTCCAAAAAGTTTTTCATCGGCCATATACCCAAGTATTAAAGCTCTTTTGCTTTTTTGCATTTCTTTTGTACGAAGTTAAAATACCACTTTGTTTGCCCTTTGATACTTTAATCACAAAATATTTATATATGCAACACTCTTTTCTTCAGGTGAAAACATGTCACACGTTCTAAATTCATTTCAAAACCATATAAAACACATGCTTGCCCTTTTTATAGATGAAAAATAATATGAGCCGTGTCACGACAAAACCAACATAGTGCGTTTGCGACCAGCATGGATCCAGACCAGCCTGCGCATCCGCGCAGTCTGATCAGGATCCATTCTGTTCGCTATCAGTTTCTCTACTTGTAATAGGGTTGGTAAGCGAACAGCATGGATCCTGATCCTGGTCTGGATCCATGCTGGCCGCAAACCCATTATGTTGGTTTTGTCGTGACACGGCTCATATTCATTTCTTGCAGGCATATTGTGCCTTTAAAATTTAAGCCTTACCTCTTTAAAGTTATAAATTTCTCCGTTATAAATTAGGTAAATATATGGGTGCTGGAAGGTCCTCATGGGCTGCATACCACACAGGTCGTCTACGATAGCCAACCTATGGAACGCCAGGCAACTGTTTGGAAAATGGTTTATGTTTTCGATCCTAAACGCATCGGGGCCTCTATGAGTTATTTTGTGAACGCAGTTGCATTGGAAGGCTATGTCACCTTCACTGCCAAATATTGCCCAAATTCCACACATGGTTTGATTGTAAATTTATCAATCTGAAATTAAGCATACTTAAATGTTATTATCCAAAGAAAACCCATATACACTTTGGGCCAGACCCCATACCACAACTTGAACCGCACGTAAACGGTCAATAAAAGACTTTTTTGAAAAATTCTTGTAAAAAAGATTTAAAAACTATTTTAAAGATTAAAACAAATGCCCAATTTGTGTAAAAAACGAAAAGGTTTTTTTTAATTGACCACTCACAGACGTATAGTATAAGCCGGATTGGGATGGGGATAGGGTCCGACACCGATAAACAATTAAAAAAAAACAAATAGCACGTTCAATTTTAAATTTTTAATATATAACACTTTAATGAAAAAATAGAGTTTAGAACAGTCAGCACTGTAAAATTTCTCAGAATTATACAGCAAAGGGAATTATTATACAATGTATTTTGTATCTTATATCTTCCATATGGTCAAATTATTTTATTAATACACTTCAAAGCAATACTTGAAAAAAATACTTCCACAAAAGTTTAGGTGAAAATAAATACGAACAAAATATCAAAATTAAAGTTCCGAAATACTCTTTCCATGCATCAGGGAAAGAAATATAATTATAAAACAAAATAATCCTCTCCATATAGATAAACAAATTAATGCAATATGCTTACTGACGCTTTGTATAAATTTATGCAGAGTTGCACGATAACGACCTTATAGTTGAGCTCGGTTGGGCATAAAAAAATGCGCGTGCGAATCTTTACATAATATTAATTGCTACTTCTTAAGAACTGTACTTAACTGTATCATAATGCAAGCTAGATAATATATTGCATTGTGACATGTAGCTACATCATGGCAAATAACTAAGCGATTTTGCTTATAGCTAATGATTACTTAGATCTGTATCATGTGCAAATAGAACGTTGATGAAATACCCCTTTTCTTTATTGGACAAACAAGCACTATATATCTGTTTGCATTTTGTAAACAATCGTAGGTTTATAAGTATAATTTACTTTAGATCTAAAAAGCCACGAAGCGAAATAATATGAACGCAACACTATATAAATCAACATCTACATATTATATATAAATACTAGTTATCAATTAAACCAATAATAACTCGACTTAATCCGACACGTGGACGCTTTCAAAACGTCAAAACTGAAAGTAAAAAATAGACGCATTAACATGGGTTTTCAAATGATGAAATCAATAAAATAAACTTACTTGTGACTTCTAAATATTAAACTATATTATTTATCCTTCAACCTGGCTGCAACGAAGTGCTGATCCTAAATGAGCACCTAGATCTGGTAACAAAAAATCCGTTCTGGTGATGCAACATTTCGTCAAACTTCATAACCATGCATTTATCATGTATATATACAGTGATCAATGCATGATCCAATGAAAACGGAGATCCGGTGATATCCGTTTCTATATTTAGATCGCATTTTCCACTTTTACCGTATACATTCTAAGAGGAGAGATGAAGTGTTGAAGGTGATATAATGGCTATTTCTTTAATTACTGTAATTGCCATCGTATCTTTTGTATATACACTGGATTAAGTTTATTATAGTACGTATTTACAAAATTAAATTGGTCAGGCGTGATCCACTTTTATTTTGTATATTTATTTAATTAACATAATAATGTAAGTTTCTGACTCTAGATAGCAAGTCCGCCTATTAAGCATAAAACTTACATATCTCGTTATGTATATTTTATCCAATATCATGGCGATAAATAAGGAAAGCTTATTCGTGGAATAACGGAAAGGATCCTAGGTCTACAGTTGCTACACACGTGATTTTTAAAACGCACGTGAATAAACACGAATAGCTGCCTAAGCTTTTGAACTTCTCGTTGGCAATAGGCAAATGTCCCCGAATCTGGGCCAGGAAAAGGAAACATAATCTTTGACAGACATGGTAATTGGTAAACAAACATTAACAAACACTTTTTAAGGAAAGCTATGCTGAGAAAAGAAGAGAAGAGATTTTGATACTAAATATACAGTATAAATAAACAATTGAGTAAAAAAAACCCAGATTATTTGATAAAAAATCAAATATTGAAAAATAACGTTTTTGAAGGCTGAAATGAAAAGTAATTTCATGGTATAAAATTTCAAAGAGACAGAGCTCTAGAGTAGTGAACCTTGTCATAATGTAATGTATCAATTTGAAATAAACCCTGGCAGAATGTACATGCAGAGTAACTAAGTAACGTAAAATTTTCATATAAAATACAAAATCAGATTTTCAAGGGATGATCGTTATAGAAAAAATGAAGAAATGTATACTTTTAAATCAAAGTTAATGTGTTCATTTGAAATAATGCGATCCTATTGGACAAAAAAGAAAATAATTAATGACGATTGGTGGGCCACCATGGTCACTCTAACTACTCTAAATACTAACAAATGTAGTCAAAGTAGCAAAATGAAATAGCTATGGTCAAAACGTTGATTTAACGTTTTCTGAAATATAATTCCATATGTAATTAATTTTTGGTTAATGATGTATCATTATATACATGTATTTAGAAAGAAAGAAAAAAAAAAGAAATCGTGGGATACTGTTATGCGCTAAATTTGTAGTTCTACTGAAGGTGTATTGAATCTCAACACAATGTTCCGTTTTATATTTTAATGTTTCTTTCTTAGTGGAATACCACAGATAATATATAACAACATATACACAGGTTATCCTGATGTTTACAAATTAATATTAAAAACAGTAACAGTTATTTCTAGTGGAGAGCCACAGTGTTATCACTTGGAAATCCAAAATCTCACTGTCTCTAAATTTTCTACATGTATCTTTACAATAATTCTAAAATTGATTTCGTTTTAACTGACCAATAGAATTTTAGCCTTTTTGTGTCTAAATATCAAATTGACCAATCAGGTTTCAATACAAATAATGTAACATAGCAACATAGAATTTATAACAACAATCATCACCTGGATATTTTATCAGTCATAAGGTTTAACAACATGATATGTACAGACAGCTTAATTGACCTTATCACCTATATATTATAAAACTTTTAGCACAGTTGATTGGACAAAGAGGAAAAGCCGCATTTTAATCTTCCAGTTACATAATTTTAAATTTGACATCTGTTAATGAAACATATACAATTTGTAACTTAACATATTTGAAATTTCACAAATTTTGTTTTAAAAATATGATCTTTTAGAAAATGATTATATATATAAATATTTGTGTTTAAAAGAAAATCATCATGCATATTTATTCTTTTTTTTTTAAATGAATTTTATCATTTTTCGGCTGCACAACAATACCCTCGGTCATGTAAATATCTGTGCCTCGGTATAACTAATTATGCCCCAGGTTTTAAGAAATAAAACAATTACAGTTAATCACATTAAGTTTTTCATTTTTAGTTATTGCTTTACTCAAGTTTGCGTTGTTGAATTGGTCATGTGCGACTGAATCTATTTTAAATTTTGATTATACATTGCTTCAATTTACCTCGTGATATCATGTGCGAATAAAAAAAGTAATAAAATAAAATTCTATTGCACGGACCCTCGTAATTTCAGTATTTTTTTTTTTATTTTCCTTCATGACACATGAAGACAGTGCACATGTTTTTTTCTATACTAAAAATGAAATTTTTTCCATCTTCATCGATGACTTATTGGAATTTCCCGATCCACCCCCGTATTTTATTTATGCGATGCGCACTGATCGCAGTCAACCAAAAAAAAGATACCCCCGAGCAGTGTGTATCTTACATCCGGGGACTTGACTAATAACTTTTCTATTTTTCGCACCGGGAAAAAAGAGTTATTTGATTTAAAAACGCAAATTTTGAAATTATGCTATACGGGGCAATACGCGCAAAAACTCGCAGAGGCGAAAAAGACTCAAAAAAGTGATCACCGTATTGAAAAGTTAGGGAAAATGGTAAGAAAAATGGGTTTTTGTTCGTGTATTCGATGGAAAAGGAGCGGGTTTTGTTATGCGGGGTAGGCTATTCCAGAAATTTTCCCACCCCCCCCATGGAAGATATTTTTTTTGTCCAAGGGGGGTGTTTATGAAAAAATGTCCAAGGGGGTTCATATTTCAGATAACACTGTCCAAGGGGGTATTTTTCAAAAGTTGTTGATTTTAAAATAAATTTTGTTGGTCCATTTGTCCGTCCAAGGGGTATGGAAGAGATGTCCAAGGGGGGTATTTCAGTCAATCTGTCCAAGGGGGTCACTCTTTACAGATGTGTTGTCCAAGGGGGCGCATTTGTTAACAATTGTCCAAGGGTTATGGAAAATATTGTCTGTCCAAGGGGTATGGAAGAGATGTCCAATGGGGGTATTTTAGACAATTTGTCCAAGGGGGTCATTTTTTACTGGCGCATGTATAAATGATTGTCCAAGGGTTATGGAAAATATTATTTGTCCAAGGGTATGAAGAGATGTCCAAGGGGTATTTTAGACAATTTGTCTCCAAGGGGGTTATTTTTTTACTGCTGCGCAACATATATCAATGTCTGTCCAAGGGGTTATAGGAAATATATCTGTCGAGGGTCATGGTAAAGAGATGTCCAAGGGGTATTTTTAGACAATTTGTCCAAGGGGGTCAACTTTTTTATTGGATGTTTGTTGTTCGAAGGGGCCAACGAGTGCATGATTATGATTATTCCAAGGGGGGTATTTCAGACAATTTGTCCAAGGGGGTCACTTTTTATTGATGTGTTGTCCAAGGGGGTGTATGTTTTAATGATTGTCCAAGGGTTATGGAAAATATTGTCTGTCCAAGGGATATGGAAGAGGTGTCCAAGGGGGGTATGTCAGACAATTTGTCCAAGGGGTTCATTTTTTATGGATGTGTTGTCCAAGCAGTCATAAAGTAATATTTGTCCAATGGGTATAGAAAATATCGGCTGCCCAAGTGTTATGGAAGAGGTTTTTATGGGGGGCATTTTTTACCTATGAGTTGTGCCCAATGGCAGAGACACATAATGAGGTATATAGTGTCACTGCCAAAGGGTATGGTAAGTGGGGTGAGTATGAAATGACATTTTCTAAGAGCTCTCCACTGGATGCCTTCGCAAAACGGTTTCGGAGCTTTTGAAGTTTATGGAAAACAGTCGTGGAAAGTCAAAGGTAACCAGGGTTTTACATCTCTTTGATATTTAAGGGGTCCAGTGGATGCATAGCCTAGAAAAGTACTGGGGTCCAGGCCTAAATTTTAGGGGTCCAAAATTATATTGGCTCTTGTTGCTGGATCGTGTAGGGGTTGCATTCATTGAACGCTGCCTTTCCTTGTTGATCTTGTTTATTATATTTTCTTCATCAAACAAAAATCATAATCTATCGTATAAAATAATCGAACAACCCTTTTCGATCAATCATCGATTATATAATCAAAGCATTCACAATAATAAAGTTAATATGTACAAAGTAAATATGTACATGCTTTAAATTAATATTATAAGAATTCCATAATTGATATTCTAAATTACGTGTTACTACCACTTTAAAAACTGAAATAGCTTAAAGATATGCTCATCCGTGAGTAAAATATTTTAACAAAATTAATTCATTAAAATCTATGAAATTATTATGTATCTTTTCAAATAGAGGAATGAATAAACTACTGTGATACTGTATGTATGGGAAATATTTTCCATTGAGCACTGTTTACAGATTATGGCAATAATGGCTTTAAGGTATAAGATCTGTGCCATATGCAGAATCCTTTCTGTAGAGTATGGACATGGAGCTCTGATAGGATGTGGGTTCAAACCCCAGAAGAGGCATTTTTTTTTAATTTTTGTCTTTTTTTCCCTTCTTTTTGTTGGGCCAGATTTTGATTTTTTTCTAAATTAAGAACAAATTTAAGTTTAATGCATCCTATGAATTGTGTGAAATTGGATAGGGTAACAACTTAAAATGATTATTATAAATTTGAAATCGGCATAGTAAAGTTTAACATACTTGATATTTTTCACAAAAGTTTAGATTTGTATCAAGATATTAAATCATTATTTAAATAATATTTTTATGCCCCTATTTTCTATGACAAATTGAAAATCTAACAGGTTTTCTTACTCTACCCTCTTCTTATTTGATGTAAAATAACAAGTACCTGTCTCAATAAACCAAAAAAATCTTTTCAAAGACATTTTTCATTTTTATTTATTTGTAGTTATTAAAAACCTATGGTTCTTTATTAATACTTTTCAACCAAGTAAAATATGAAACTACAAATGTACCAACACTTTTCTGCCGATAATAAGAACATATTCTTTGTTGTTGTTGTATAAAAAAACAAATACATAAGTTATATTTCAATTGTCAATATTTTTCAAACAAGATGGTAATT